GGCCGGGGGAGCCTCTCTGCCCCTCCACGTGCTGACGGAACAGCCGCAGGAGAAGGACAACTCGATGGAGTACAGCCACATCCACGTCCACAACAGCTCCCCCCTGGCTCACCACCAGCATGGCTGTGGCTTGGGATATGTACCTGTCATCTACTACAGCCTGCTGCTCTGCCTCGGGCTGCCAGGTGAGTGCCACTCCAGCGGCGCCCCGCAGGCTCTGCCTGGCCCCAGAGGATCGCCCTTAAGCCTCGAGGTTTGCCTGGGTCCGTAGCTTGTAAAAGCAGAGCCCCGACCTTTTGTTTAGGAGCAATCGACTTCTCCTGACAGTGACACCTGAACTCCGTCCGCTAGCAAGCGGAGAAAGTTTTTAGTCTTAAGGAAAGACTCCGAGGGATGGAGCTGCATTATTGTGTCTCCAAGCCCCCTTAGCATTAAAACAGTCTTGGAGCCGCTTACTCTGGAGCACAGTTGGGGGGGGGGGGGGGGGGGTATGTAGTTCTAGATCAACAGTTAGAAAAAAATGAATCCAAAATGAAATCCTGTTTTCAATGTATGTTCACTGAGATCCTTTGTGTTTTATTGAATGTCCAAAGTCCAGCTATTGTACAGAGCTCCAAGAAAATGTTGATTTTAAGAGACTTTGGCTGCTTGCACTTTCATTGATACAGTAAAACAGTACATAGTCTCACAGTGTGTGTATGTGTGTGTGTGTGTATTCTCACAGGGGTGTGTGTGTGTGTGTGTCTTCAAGACAATAATTCTGCTTTTGGATGGTAGTTCTGGTAAGTTGCTTGTTTTACGTCATTAGGCAAACCTTTTCTTTGTCTAGACACAGAACAACAGTCTCTTCCTAATACTGTTACTAATTTTTTTGAAAAAGTCCAGACAGTATCTTTAAGAAAAGAGGTGGGGAATTTCTAATTCAAGTTAAATGTTGTATATGGTGGGTGTGGGACTTTTAATTTTTAAATACATTGGAAGTTTGTTTTATTAGCTTATGTGGATTAACAGGAGACATTTCTTAGAAGACATACTTATTAGGATATTTATGATAGACCTGTATCTCTAAATAGTGTTTTTTCTCTTCTCTTTAATAAAGGGTCTGTCTTCTCCTTTGGAGGGGGAGTGGGAGGGATAAGCAAACAGTTCCAGTTGTTTATATGCATCCCTGCAAGTGCTGTCTGGCTAGGAAACTGACATACGAAGTGTCTTAGTTGTTAATCAAGTTCCCAAAATAATTAATTTGGCCATTTCAGCTAAAGTGGTATTGAAGACTGGAGGATTCAGGGAAGTGACGCTGGGACATAAAGTCATTTACCTCTAGACTGCCTGCCTACGTTAAGAGTAATCAAAAATTGTTACTGTCTGATTGCTGCTGGTTCATCTCATACCAGCTCCCACTGGACAAAGGCAGCTTTAGGAACAAGGTGTCTCAGATGCCATATGTGCAAGGAACTGTGATTCCCCAGGATTCCAATGAAGAAAATACCTAGTCCAAAGAAAACCATCATACTCCCTAAAGCATGGGCATCAGGTTAAAAAATCTACTTGGTCCACATAACCTTCTCCTCCAGTGGTCTGTTCCCTCATCCACTGAAGTCAATGGCAATATTCACTCTGATTTCCTATAAGTGCAGGGGTGAGCACCAGAAGCTCATGCCAAAAATATAGACTCGGAGTTAGCTGGCCAGTTCTGCAGAGAAGGGGGAAAGATGAGACAGGGGAGGTAGGGAACTCAGGAGAAGAGAAAGAGAGGAGGGGCTCCTTGTTTATTCAGGAAAGGTGAAACAGTCTGCCTCTAGAATGTCCCTTTACCCAGAGCCTGCACTGTCAATAAGCAGCACAAACCCTCCCCCGCCCCCACTGTCCCAGTTGATTTGAATTGGTGTGTTCGTCCCAGCACAGGAGAAGCACTGAGTAAGCTGTGAAGACGGAACTTTCTCACTCCTAAAAATGGTCACTTCAGGTCATCACTCAGACATCCTGGTAGGGAAGACAGTCGGTCCTGTGCCGGTTCTGTGGCTAAGCAGAGGACTTCGTATCCAGGGCTGCCAACCCAGCACTACAGCCAGAAAAAAACATGGTTTAAAATCTACTCTTTAAAAATAATGTCAACAATGATACCTTTAACAATGATTGGCAAAAATAGAGGGAAATGTTAGAGCATTTTTATTTGCCAAGATAAATCAATATTTTTATAATGAAATATATAGTTATATACATACACAGGCATAGTTAATCCATCTTGTAAATGGAAAGCAGCACTGATAAGATGTTAACTGATTTCTAAATGCTTTTTTCACCCTAGCTGCTCTTGTGTAGAAAATTACATTCTTCAAGCCATTAGTTATAATAATTTTTTAATCAGACATTGAGAGCTCTGTGTCTGAACAGTGGCTACAGTACATTTGCCATTGGTATATGCCATTGGTACCCTGCACATGAATGGATATTCACTGTGCCTTTTTTTCCTCTTCTATATTGAATGCTGATGCTTGGCAAATCATTATGAGATCAGGAAAGTTAAGTCCTGTATTCAACCACAAAAGATGTAAACCCCAGGCAAGCCTTTACACTCTGCAGTCACACTATGTATCAATGCTGCTTGGAAAAGACCTCACCAGCAGAGAAGAGAATATAGTGTTTCCATGCCCATTCATTCCTTGGTCTCTGTGCCAGGACGGTCAACAGTGATGTTCTGATACTGACACCTGTCCAATAGGAAGTGACTAAGAACACCTTAAGAGTATATGAGTAGGAGGTTATTAGCAAGCAATGAGGCACTACATCTACCTGAAATTGGGAAGATCCTTCATGCAGGCACTAAACTAGGAAATCAGTTAATGAACTGCAGATGTATAATACATTCTAATTACCAACCTACTGTGATCTATTGAGAAATGTACAGTTAAAGTTGGTTGGTGCATGAGACAAATTAGCAAAGGTGATGTGTTTTTTCCTTTGCTTAGGAACAACGGCACTGACAATAGTAACAAAACAACTTTATACTATGAGCCAAAACGATGTCTGATGTAACTCCGATGGATTCAAAGGAGTTGTATCAGGGACACATTTGGCTTACCTTATTCAGTGTATGTTATCTGAGGATAACACTGGCATTAACATTCAAGAGAACTTTACATATACATCATGTTGAGTGCAGAAGTAATTCATGGATTTCATTTTGATATTGCACTGCTGCTTTCAAAAAATATTATAGGGGCATTTGAGTTTCTTTGTCTAAAAGATAAAGACCCTGAAATTCCCTGGCTAGTTTGTTTTTGTAATTCTGAGAACATGAAAGAGAGTAGAATTTATGTTATGGTCACACACACAGACATAGTATCTGTGCAGAACGTGGTTGAAATGCAAAAGGTTAACTCTGCCATGATCTTTCGAGGCGTGATCAGATCATTTTATTATTGGATGTTTTTGCTGTACTGTTCAAAAAGGACATTTCTTCAACTCAGCAGCTTTGTACTGAGGCTGCATTGTGCAGCATGGATGCACACACCATCGAGAGAGAGGGTAAGAAGCCTTATCCCTTCATTTGTATGGCCCAGGCATAATAGCTGCCCCTGCTGTTAGGACAGCACAGCGATTTCTCTCTCTCTACCCTCCTAAGGTTCCAGAGAATACCGAAGAGGAAGGGAGAAAAGGGAGCATGCCCTCACCCACCCCCTGATTGCCTTGTGAAGAGGAACTAGCACACTAGGAGGAAGGAGCTATGCTACACTCCCTTAAGGAAATATGGCAACAGATGCTCTGCTCTTGTATCCCCGAGAGCCATTCCTCCTAGAGGTGTCCCACCACCCAAATGCAGGTTTGTGCTTTAGAGGCACAGATGAGCCCTGAGGGAATAGGAAACCTGTCTAACCATGGACGGACGAAGGTTACGGTATGCTTCCTACAATATACCTTTGCAAAGCTGTTCACTTAGGGATAGAGGCTACCGATCCTCATTCACATTAGGTATCATCTTCTCACATGGGTAATTAGCTCCAGAGGCAGGAGCAAGAGTACAAAATCAGGACCATGATTTGCAGAATCCAGCTTCTCGATAAAGAAAGCAAGAAAATGTGTTCCTGGCAGGAGCAGAGTTCATAAAGGCTTCTAGAAACATGTGTATTGGGCTAGAAAGAGCAGTAGTTTAAAGGGACATTCCCCCTACAGTGCTGTTGCCTTTGTTAGTGTTTTTCTTTTTGTTTTCTCTAAGGGAACATTTTCTAAAGTTTCTCTTTAGTTGGCTGGTGGGTTTAGTGGTAGCTGAAGGAGGGGTTAGTGGAGTTTTTTCTCAATTTGATGAGAGCATAAGGGGGTGGGGAGAAGCTAGAATACATCCATAGAGAAGAGGTGTCAAGTGTGTGGGGAAGAAAGGAGATGGAAGAAATTGCTTTAATCAGTCAAAACTGGAGGTGGCGGGGGAGAAAAAATGAACAAGCAAGTTCCCAAATTAGACTCTGCTCTAGGAAGAAAGTTGGACAAGATAGCTACAACTAAAGATGCTTGATGTATCAATGCCCCCAAAACACAGCTAGGAGGGTCAGGCACAAATGCAGCACTATCTCTTGAGGATGTTTGGCTTTGACTTCATTGGAGAGTACGGTGGGAAGGATTAGATGCAATCGCCTATTCTTCCTATTGGTTGTATGCAGTACCACAGCTAGAATGGAGAAGGCCGCAGCAGCTTAGTTCCCACTTATCTATGTGTCCAGTGATATTGCTCACTTTTGGAGCGTGTGTTGCAAATGCTACTCTCGTTTACACTGAGAACGTGAGCAAAATTTGGCTTTGTGTGCAAGGTATCCAGCAATGCCACTGAGCTCCAGATGGACCATTGCTTACACTGAGTAGCTACTAGGGATAGAATGTGCTGTAAGTTTCAAGTACCTGCTCTGGCAAGGAGGCTTTAGTAGAGCAGTGGTTCCCACCAGTGCGTGAACCACTGGCTGCTGGGCTGCAGCTCACTGCCAGGCTACACGCGTGCCTTGATGATTGGCTCGGTGAGACTTTGGAGCAAGGTCCAGAAACGCCTCTTCTACTCTCCCTGGGATTGTCTCTTCTCCCTGCACCCAGCGCTACGTTGGCTTCTCTGTATGATGCTGCCTTGATATGGGGACGCTGCCCGAGCCCGGGGTGGGAGGGCCCCCAAGGGCAGGAGCAGCTTCACAGTGGCTTGCTTACG